CCCTGGTGGTGGATTCGCAATACGTTATGATGCTTTGGCTAGAAGACCAATACATAATTGAGTTACTGCTGCAATAACCAAGGTTTAATGAATCAATAACAGGTATCTACGCTCGAGTTGCTGTGTCAAGTGTTTGTGCGTCCCAGTAACCAGCATTTTCGCGCAGGAAGAGAATCATTTCTAAAGTAATGGGCTGCAGTCTATGGCGTTCTTGGCCAAACGTGGTACGAGCAACGCTAAAAAAGCGCTCCACCACGTTGGACGTCGCAGGGATTGCGTGCAAGAGCTTGTACTTGGTCTCCTTCGCGGCAAGTCGGCGTCTTTTTTAGAGCAGCTGGACGAACGAGCTTTCGCCGTCGTCCTCGTCTTCACTCACTGCAGGAGGGCCTGTCGACTTGAACGGAGTCAACACTGATTTTTCAGCTCGCATGAGGCGGGCTGCATTGCCGCCTAAGACCGTACACACCCTGACTCAAAGTCAGGGCTGTGAACAATTTCAGCGCGTGGGCCTAGTGTTCATAGTGAATACAAAACAAATTAGCAATGGATACTAGAAAAGGAAAAAAATATGCTGCACGTACCAATGTATCGAGCGTAGTGTGGTTTGATGGAAATCAAGCCATCCAGCCACACTCGAGCATCAAGTAGTGATACTTCGTTTCTCTGCAAAGCCTTTGCAACGGACTCGACCTTCTTCAAGTCTGCTAGCAGAGCACGCAAACGGCGGTTGTACGAAGGGGACGGCAGCAAATCTGCGATGTCGTCGTCATTGCTGTCGATAAACTCCAGCAGTGTGAAGTACCGCATCACCATAGCGAAAGTGGAGCTCCATCGAGTATCTTGGCGGGTGACTGGACAGAACGGCGTTTTAGTTCTACATTCAAAATAGAAACCCAATTAGAAACGTTTCTAACTACATCATTATCAGCTCAAACTTACCTCAGCTTGGCACTTTGCTTCAGGTTACGAAGCTTGATCATTAACTTCTGGACAGCATCCAGCTCGTCCTCATAGTCTTGCATGTCAGCTTGCACTGCTCGGTTAAGGCGGTGGCTGGCACAGCCGATTAGCGGCACACCCATCAGCGTTGCGAGCCGCCGGTTAACCGAGCAGTTGTCTCCCACCAGGAAACAGCACTGGCCCAGCTGCTTGCCGTAGTCCCGAGGCAGCATAGTGGCAAGAAACTCCATGTGGCCGCGGGCGGAGAGGTCTTCCTCCTCCTCGCTGAGCAGTGGAGCCATACAAAGAAGAGGAGTCTTGACGACCCCGTCCACCTCGTAGCGAGCGTACACTGCAATGTAATGCTCTGAAGCATGAGACCACC